TATAAAACGAAGCATAAAACTGCAAGAGGGGGAAGGAATAATTTAATCCTGCTTTTCAAATCCTATTTTATTATTCAATCCAACAAAAGCATATCACACTCTAATAGTTTGGAAAAACGTTCCAAATTAACAAATAAAAATGCAAAGTTGCCTAATTTGGAGCAGTAAGCAATCCATGAAATATTTGACGATTACAAAAATATAAACGCATACGTCACACAAATAAATAAATTTATATACAAATTTTTTGGTAAGAGTGTAGAGGCACACATATTACATAAATCAGGCTGCCAATGAATTCAATATTTTATAAACCTATTTTAATGATTCAATTCAACAAAAAACAGTTTATACACTACCAGTCTACCGGTTTGGGAAAACTTTGTAAACTAACATTTAGTAAGGCAAAGTTTCCTAATTTGGAGGAAAATTGTTTCAATCTCATATATATAAAGAAATATACATACAAATTGCACTGGTAAAAATATATAGGGATGCATTAGATTTTTAAATTGAGGATAACTCAGAACTTTTTTTGGCCTTAAAATGTCAATTCTCATCAGAAAGAAAACAAACAAATTAACAAAGAAATGCAGAAAATGATCATCGAGAAACTAATGCATAATTGAGAATGATAAACTATACAAGTGTAAGCAGAAATATACAATAAAAATTTGCATTTTTTGAGAAATATCACTAAACAAGAAGCAAATATCACTAAAAGAAAATAAAACATATTCAATCTTGTTTAATTCAAGTTCTATGCAATGAAAAATCAAGAGCATGTTTGGTTGTCTGAAAATGAGAATCAAATAATTTCATAATTGAATATTTTATACATAGCTAGTTAGATATATTTAATTGTCAAAATTGAAACAAATAAAAAATTTTCAAACTAACTTTTTTACAAAACTTTAAAATTACTTATCCCTTTTACACAAAGAACGACCTAATCAACAATTAGAGGATTCAAATCCTGTTCTCTTGAACACTTGCATAAAATTTGAAGCTCAATATTCAATATTGGTTTTGCTTGTAATGATATCGATGTATTCAAAAGCAAATTGAAAGCAAATGAATACAAAGAGTATTAAAATATACGTATGGAACATCTTAGCGATGAGTTTGAGCTTGTCCTGGGCCTCTTTGATGAGCTCTTTGACTTGGCCACTTGTGAGGCACTTCTCAATCATTTTTTATCTAGAGAGAAACCAAAATATCAAAACACATTACAAACTCTATCTACCCAAGAACAAATGAATTTGAAAAATTAATTGAAACAAATAAGGCAGGCCTTTTCCTTGAAATTTTGTTGCAATCTTAGAGAGAGGCTTTGCCATGAAGAGAATTTATGGGTTGTTTTAGTCAGGCATATTGTCAAACAATCGGTATGCATAATTTCTCCTCACATTAACAAGCTTGAAAAACATACAAATCAGATATGAACATCTCAGTCGAAGACAAACAATGAGGAGGAACATCGCCAATAGGTAAAGCAAGAAGATGGTGGTGCAAACTTTAAATGTTGCCCAACCAATTCTTCTACAAAGAGGTGCTCCAAGATTGTAAAATCGAGGTACACCAAATAGAGGACCCTTGTAGAAGCCATTGAAATTCATACCAGTGCAAACAAATGGGAAGGTAACCAAGGGTGAGATTAGCTGAACAAGCAAACAAAGAGCATCGCTTTCTTCTTAGCACATAAGAAACTTATGAGAGGGATAGATGGTGGGCTTTGGTTGGTTGGGCGATCGGCAGGACCAAGATGGAAGGAACAAACTCTGAAGACAACTCACCATCTTTCCAATTCAACAACAAACAACTACACCGCCATAGATGTGACTTGTAATAAATGGAAATAACAAGGGCAATTGTAGGCTCCTGCCCATTGAAATAAGGACAATTCTGGTATTAAGAGCACTAAACACATGGAAACAAACAAACAAACAAACAAAGAGCACCACTTTTTCTAAGCACAAGGCGCACCATCACGGAAATTCGGCTCGGGCTTGGGCTCTGACTCACCCATGCTCAAACAATGAAGTGTTAGGAAGAAGGTATGTTATACCGTAGTTGTACTCTTTTATATATGGTTATAGAAATGGTAGTAGTGGAAGTCTTCTGTCAAATAAAACTAAGAACTCACTAGTTTGACGAAAAATGTCAAAGTTATTGAAATTAGCTCTCTTTAAAAATCTCTCATGATGGCGCTCATAAATCATCTTTTCATATTCCATATTTTAATAAAAACATAAAAAAATATAATGTTTGAATTTGTTTATGTATTTGAAAGTCGTCTTTAAGAATGACAGTTTGGCCCAATGATAAGATTTGCTATTAATGTTTGTGGTGGTGGATTTGAATTACAGAAACAATCTCTCCAAAATAAGAATGAGACAATGTACATTTTACCATCTCTAAGATCTTTCTTTAGCAAAAATCTCATGCATTGAATGGTTCTTTATTTGGGAGTCCACTTTGGTAATTATGCACAAACTCTAAAACTTGGAAAAATAGTGATTTGAAGTTTTTTTCTCTTGGCTATTGGTTGTTTAAATACATTGCTTGTTTGAGTTAATATGGTGCTGAATCTAATTTGAGCTGTTACTCTTGTTTGATGCTGATAAGTTGAAATCAGGATCACAATTCCATTAAAAAAAAAAAAAAAGAGAACAAATTTACAGGACTAATGGCTAGCTGAACCAGGTTTTGCTACAATACAAGCTATGAAGCACTGGTGCGAGTATGAATATTGGTATGGGTACAATACGGGTATGTTGATATGGCAAGACCTAAAAAAAATAGGATATGGGTACGGTTGGGGTACATCAATATTTTTTTTTTTTTTTGTAACTGATAGTCTGAGATTCAATTTACAAATCAAAGTTCAATACCAAAACTAAAAAGAGAAATTACAAAATCAAAAGAAAAATCATAGTTTCACAATACCAATACACATGCCAAAACAAAGTCTATAAGCTATTTTAATGCCATTAAATAGAAGAAATTACAAAATAAAGTTTCATTCCAAAAGCAAGCTAAGTGAAATTTAAAAACTTAAAACTTTAGTTTCACTTCCATCAATTTCATCATTGAATAATACATCTTCTATCTCTGACACATCAAATAAAGATCTGCAATTTCAAATATATCAAAACGCTCTAATAAATTAAACATATCTCCAATAATGTCCCATAGCTTGGTGTACTCTTGATGTACCAAAGAGAAGCCTTTTTGCTCCAAGGAGAAGTGTCCATAGTAGTGTTTAGTGGTTAAAGGTATTATGGTAATTTCAATATTGTTGGACATGGGTTGTAGGATTGCCCATGGGTTTTATTTTGGGTCAATTTATTAAATGGGTCATTACATTTGTGTTTTGTTATAAAGAATAATCTTAGTGGTCAAAAATCTAAGTATCCTATTTTGATATTAAAGTAGAATTAGAAGTCATAAAAGTTTCCTATTATGATTGAAAATTGAAAATCATAGTTGGTCTAGAATATTAGAAGTTAAGAGTCTTTAGCCTATAAATATATGTATAATCTCAATGATTCAACAAAAGAATTAATATTATGAAAATTTGAGATTGTGTTTGTGTGATTGGCCAATCCCTTGTGAGAGTGAAGTACCCCTTTTTCTCTCTAGCAAGGTTATTGTTTAGGTCACTGTTCACAGTGGTTAGAACAGCCACCCAACAGCCCTTAAACACTTGTGTTTTCATTCCCAAAACCCTACCTTTTTCAAACTCTTAAACTCTTGTTTTTTAGTACTTTTAATACTTTTTAATGCTTGTCTTCAAGCTATCTGATGGGCAGTGGAACAATGGCTAGCAAGTGTTTCCATGTCCACAGATTGTCAGATTTTGATTTATATCTTCCGGGATGGTTCCCAGCCTGATTGGGTTTTCATGAATATAATGGAAGACATCAAAACTTGTTTTAGCTTGTTTCAATTCTTTGTTGTATCTAAAGTAGATCGAAATGTAATCAGCCCAACCCATAAGCGGGCTAGACTTGTCAATGGTTTTGTGAAGTAATCTATATATATATAGATATATGTTTTCTGTTGTTCTCAAAAAATATATATATATATATATGTTTTCTGTTGTTTTCAAAAAAAAAAAAAAAGTATGTATTTTGACTGTTGTTTGAGAGCTTTTTCAAGTTCCTCAATCCTTGCCATTTAGCGACTGCACATTTCAAATAAAATATGAGAGCCTTCAAGATGGAGACTAACAATGAAAACATAATTCAATTTTGGAATAAGAAAGAGTAAGTCGGGAGAGAATTACACAGGAAATTAATCACAGTAACTAGTAGGTGATTTCAGATATGTCTAACCTTCATAAGCAGCTAATCCCAAAACGTCACTACAAGAAAAAACACTTTTAGTGACGTTTTTTTAGTCACCAAAAGTGTATTTTTTATCACCGAAAGTCTTAGCGACGCAAAAAAAATGGTCGCCAAAGCTATGTCACTAAATGATTCAGTGACCAAATAAACTATGGTCGCGCTTATAAAAGAATCAGTGACTAAATAATTTAGTCGCCAAATACTAAAAAAATCGTCACCGTAAAGTAACATTTAGTGGCTGAAAATAGCCTTAAATAGATGCCATGTTAGATTTTAGTGACCCACAAAAACGTCGCTAAAACATCCTTCAGCGACCAAACAAATTAATTGTTGAATGCCAAATCTTTTGGCGACAAATAAAGATTTTGGTTGCTATAAATTCATATCATATTTCACACAGACTTTTAGCAACCGAAACAACTTGTCACCAAAAGTAAATTAACAACTAAAAAACCTCTCATCAAAAATTCATTATTTTTAATTTTTTTTTTTACAATTTCCCTGTTCAATTCATAAACCAATAAAAAATAATCCAAACCCAAACTGACTTTTCCTGTGCCTCATTTCTACACATACATGCAATCAAAAAAAATTAATACATTGTGCAAAGCATCCAAACTATAAACTTAATTCAAAAGTAGAAGCATATTAAACATAAGCAAAATATCAAATCCATAACATTCAACATAAGTATCCCTTACAATCCGAAACTTGAAACATGTATTCAAGGATTCCAAAAAAACTTTCAAGCTACAAAATCCTATGACAAAATATATCCAAAAATTCAAAATATAATCCTCTGATGCTCCTCGAAATACGTTCCATCCATTGCCAATCTGTCAAACATATGAAAAAAATTACAATATTAAAATGTTAGTAATAAAATGCTTAGTCTCAAAACTATGATATACCAAACACAACAACCACCCCTAATGTAGAAACTAAGATAGGTCCATAAGAATGATATGTCTGATATGTCTACCTAAGATAGGTCCATAAGAATGTAGAACCTCACCAAGTTACTAACAGAATTGAATCAATATAATTGTGTCGGATATTATAGAAGCATCTTTTACAAGAACGCACAAATAATAATAAATTTTCTCAGCTTCTTTGAGGCAAAATCAGAAGGCAATATGAAATCAAATGAAATGGGTAATTATAAATGGTGCAAAATTTAAATGCAAAGACTTCCGAAATAATGCTTAATGTTACAACTTAAACCTAATTAATATCAACCAAATAAATGGGGATAAAATACACTGTCAAGCTTATCAAGTAAATAGGCTACAAGGTTGGTTGGGTAGTGGTCGAAATAGGAGAATATGGACTGATCTATTGGAGTGGTGGGGAATTTGCTGGGCAACACCAGCAAGAGTGAAGGGGCTGCTCCTATGGTGGCTGGAGTTTAATTTAGCCAACCTTTGTCTCCATTGTGACGTGACAAGGAGTTATGGAGTTTAATTTTCTCTATTTTTCATGTGGTCTCGGTTTCTGTGGTGAGGGGGATTGAGCAGTTGCAGCGGACTTTTTATGGGGTGGTGGGGTGACGGTGCTCATTATCATCTGGTGTCTTGGGATCGGAGGGTGGCCTTGTTTAATTTGGCCTTGTTAGGGAAGTGGCTGTGGCATTTTGTGGAGGAGAGGGAGCGATTTTGGAGGTGGGTGGTGATTGCTAAGTTTGGTGTGTGTAGGGGGAGTGGTGCTCGGGACAATTGGGTCATTCTCATGGTTGTGGGTTGTGGAAAGGGATTTGGCTGGGTCGGGAGGCGTTCTAGCAGAGAGTGAGGTTGAAAATTAGTGTGGGGGATAGAGTTCGATTTTGGCGGGATAAGTGCTGTGGAGAGTCGTCTTTAGAGTTTCGATTCCCTCCGGTCTTTGCTATTGCTGCTAATTCTGAGGTGTTGGTGGGTGCTGTGAGGGTTGGGGAGGGGCAGTTGATGGTGTGGAATGTGCGTGTTGGTGGGTGCTGTGAGGGTTGGGGAGGGGCAGTTGATGGTGTGGAATGTGCAGTTGCATCATGATGTCCAAGATTGTGAGCTAGATCAGTTGGTGGACCTCCTGGGCTTTTTATATGGTTTGCATCTTGGACGGGTTGGCTTGGGATTGTCCTAGAGCAAGCACACAAACAAAATTAATCTATTTAAATACAGTGAAGATTGTCCAACAGAGAGTTGTCTTTAGAGTTTCGATTCCCTCCGGTCTTTGCTATTGCTGCTAATTCTGAGGTGTTGGTGGGTGCTGTGAGGGTTGGGGAGGGGCAGTTGATGGTGTGGAATGTGCAGTTGCATCATGATGTCCAAGATTGGGAGCTAGATCAGTTGGTGGACCTCCTGGGCTTTTTATATGGTTTGCATCTTGGGATTGTCCTAGAGCCAAAAGTATTTTTACTGTGTCTTCGTTCTATGGGGCACTTGTTCAGGATAAGTATGTTTTGATGTCAACATGGTTTATTCGTGGAAAAGTGTTTGGGTGCCGGGCCCACCGTCCAAGGTTGCCTTCTTTGTGTGGACAGTGAATTTAGGCCGTATCTTGACCATTGATAATTTGATTTGTTATGGGCATATTTTGGTGAATTGGTACTGCTTGTGCGATTGGGCAGCAGAATTGGTTGACCATTTGCTTATTCATTGTTCGGTCTCTTCTCGTCTTTGGATGCTTGTGGTTGCAATTTTTGGAATGGTTTGGGTTCAACCAGATTCTGTGTTCACAGTTTTGCAAAGTTGGGTAGGGGGGAAGGTGGGGAGAAGGCGTCGAAAGACTTGGATTCTTGCTTCGCATTGTTTACTGTGGTTGATCTGGCTGGAGCGAAATAGGCGGGTGTTTCACGGGGTGGCTCATTCCATCCCTTGGTTGGAGAGGCGGCTTCTTATTGTCTTGTATAGTTGGGTGACAGGTTTAGTAGATCCAGATATGTTGGCTTTTACAGATTTTGTGAAGAATTTGATTTGTTAGTTTTGTTAGGCTCTTGAGGCCGTTTTTGTATTCTTTGCATCATCTTGATGCTTTATCTATAAAGTTTGGTTATTTATCAAAAATAAAAAATAAAAAACTCTCCATCTTTCACATTCGTTGGGTTTAACCAACCTTTGTCTACATGTTATATTAGTGTCAAGCAAATGGGTATCATTCAATGAGGGTACAAAAGGCTTGGTTGGTGGCACGTATGTGCTTGATGTGGAGTTTATGGAGAGCGGAATCAACATACTTCGAGTATATAAATATGACAATACATAGATTGAAGATATCTCTACTTCATAACTTTCATTTTTGAAATAAAAGAAATTTTTGTGAATCTTCTTTTTTCTAACCACAAGTCAAAAGCCATTTCTTCTTTTAACATTTCTCAAATATCAAATATATTCCAATATTCTAAAAGTACTCCTAAATTGCCAACCACATGAAAAGAATACATGTCACCTCAAAGAGAATTAACAGAGAGAGAGAGAGAGAGTTTATAACAAAAATTCACTACGTTGTGACATCATAATTCAAAAAATAGATTCTTAAAATAAAACCAAATCTGCAGTGTTTTTGTTTATTAATGTTGAAGAGAATCTCAAATTTTTTTAATGAAAATACTAAACACAGTTCAAGGTTGATATAAGTATAAAAAATATTAAAATATATAAAAACCAACCAACAAGAGCCAAACAAAACCAAGCACAAGGCCTAAAAGTAGCACTGCAACGCCTAACAACCAACAAAACAAAAAATAGGGGAAAAAAAAACACCAAACAACCCTCCAGCTGAAAATGCTACCCAGCAGCAGCATAAACTCAAATGTAACCCAGCAGCAGCAGGCAGCAACTAAGTCCAACTTTGAGCTTGAAGCATTACTCCAATAGACTGAATATTTTCTCCCAAAATTGACCACTCTTAAGTGTAAAATGTTATCCAACTGAGCATTGATTGATATCTATCATTGACCCACATAATTGTATCAATCAGTAGGGCCGAAAAGATGAAAAACAAATATTGTTCATAACAAGCCATGCCCAACCAAGTTCTAATCATCTTTACAAATCCACAGCCTACATTATCAATGCTCTCAATTATTACATTGACCTATGAGACATTTGGCATCCATGTTAACTACCATTCCCTTAATTTTTAGTTTCAGAGGAAACTCCCCTGCACCAACATCACTAACAACCTCTTTGCTGCTCTTGCCCAAAATCCTCTCACAAGGTCATTACCAACAAAGTTGTGGGATTATTTTCCATGTCTAAAACAGCTGGCGCTCCTAACGTTTCATTTCCCTTAATGGATTAAACAAATAATAATAGTTTCACATGTATGCAAACTATCATCATTTATTAAAAGTGAATGCATTGCATCTTAGGTTAAAAAATAAATAAAGCAAATGAAATAGTCTACATTTTCAAAGAAGTTTTGCTTGTACATTGCGACATTTGATCAAACACGTAGTAGACATGAAGAGAAGTTAAAGAAATCTAAGAAAATAAAACCCAAACTGAGAGAATAAAGATACATAGGGGCAATCATAAAACAAAGCAATCATAAAAAGGAAATGAAACAAAATATTCAAAACCAAACCGAGAGAGAGAGAACTTCTTTGAAAAAAAATTACAATATTAAAATGTTAGTAATAAAATGCTTGTTCTCAAAACTATTTTTTTTTTTTAATCTGTTAAGAAGAATAATTCATTAGATAAGAAGAGAGGAGTACAAAAAAAAATAAATACAAAACATGAAGCATCCCAACTAGGTTGGCACACTCCATAAGGCCAATCACGTACAACCCATCAGCCAAAACAAAGGAGATTCCAATCCACCAAACCACCCAACAATCCTTAAACACTTGTGTTTGCATTCCCCAAACCCTACCCTTTTACAAACCCTTAAACCCCTATTTTTTTAAATACTTTTACAGCCACAAAATCCCACTAAATCCAGCTTTATAAGTCCATTGTTGCTGTTGGTAGTATACTTAATCTGGGCTCACTATTTGTGGGAAAGTAATCCCTACTCGTCCTACATCATCAATTTTCTACATACATGGACTTTTTCAACTAGCACACAAAGTTGACTAGAACTGGGTTTCAATCTCCGCAGAAAAAAAAAAACAATTGGTTTTTTTATTAGATATGCCTCTAGTGTATCTACAATCAAAATGTCAACACCTTTTTTTTTTTTCTTGTTCAAGTTATATCTAAATCCCACTAAATCCAGCTTTATAAGTCTATTGTTGCTGTTGGCAGTATACTTAATCCGGGCTCACTATTTGTGGGAAAGTAATCCCTACTCGTCCTACATCATCAATTTTCTACATACATGGACTTTTTCTACTAGCACACAAAGTTGACTAGAACTGGGTTTCAATCTCCGCAGAAAAAAAAACAATTGGTTTTATTATTAGATATGCCTCTAGTGTATCTACAATCAAAATGTCAACACCTTTTTTTTTTTTTTCTTGTTCAAGTTATAAATATTATTTGTCATGCTCAGGACTACAGAAAGAAAACAAATACCTGAATCTATCCTCTTTCTCCAGTACAACATACACTGTAGGATATTTAAGGACATCAAAATTATTTCTTGAAGAATTAAGTGGAAGAAGTGATTTTTAGAGCTTCTCTTCGGTTGATTAACAATGCCAGCCTATACTTTATCTTCTTCCCATAGATTGCATTTGCTTCATTTTAATGAATTAAAGCACATAATCAAAATTGTAAAGCTCCTTTGCATCTGTCGTGAAAAAAACAGGTAAAATATGTGTGGTGAAGTGGAGGTAGGTGAAGTGGAGTGTGTAGTGGAGTAGGTGAAGGTAAAGATGGGAAATTCTAACAATCTGTCGTGAAAAACAACAGGTAAAATATGTTCAAAAATTAAAAATTAGTGAGCAACATCATAACAGAATCTATAAATTACTAAGCAACATCCAACTATTAATAAACCTCAAATGGAAGTTCTAGAGAAACAAAAACTAAAATAAAATGAAGCTTTATGGTGCAGACTAATGAAAAAGGCAGCTATACCTGTACTAGGGGGAGAAAGCAAAAGGGCAAACTCCCGGTACATCTGTTATTGTTTGTTACCCAGCAACAGATGCATGATCCCACCTTCGGACTCATTGGATAGGTAAGATGGAAAAGTGGTTTGCTCATCAAGTTGATTACATGCCATTCTAAAAGAAAGTTGCACGTTGCCAATTTAACCAGCCAAAGGGTTTCCATTCCTTGGACATCTGTCAATTGTCACTCCGTATTTGGGTCGTTGCAACCCTCTCTCCGTTTCTCATCAACCAGTCCAGGAAACATTTGCAAGCCAGACACTATGCAACCCATAGCCTCTGCAGACTGCAGCCTTGTGTTCTGCAGCATTACAGCCCAACAATTGGACAAATTGTCCACATGTCGGCCTCCTAGAGTTAAGCAACCACTAGCAACTTTGTTAGTACTTGTGCCTTGATAATTGACTTCCATTCTAGCTATGGCACAGTTCAATATCAATATCTTTTAGACTCAGCAGCCCCAATATCAAAAGGATACATACTACATACCAGGAAACTATTAAAATCACCCCAAGGGTCATGTGAAAACTGCCGAATCTGTAGTTAGCTTAATAAATGCAAGCTATATATAACTGAATCTTATCATAGTACCATATAGCAATACTAGAACTCCTTAGTTGCAAACCAATCTTTCCTTCCAAAGAATCCTTGATTGGTAACATCATAATGCAACTTGCCAGTAATAAGAGAGAGAGCGATGTCGGAATGACCCATTTTCAAAAGAGGAACTAAAGCTTTGTTGAATCGAGAAATGGGAGGCAACTTGGAGCATGCAATTAAACGAATGTACAGCATCTTGGAGATCATTGTGCCGCGAATTCCATCGATGAGAACTAGGGCTTGTGGGGGTAGTCGTAGTAGTGAGAGAACAACGAAACAGAACAATTAAGAATGAATAGTATTATTAAGATTTTTAATTTTTTTTTAATCTAAAAGATTGGTATATTTTCATCAAATGAAATAATAGAAAAAAAAGATTAATTTAGTCATTAAATTAAATGTAATTTAAATTCCTTTCTTTTTTATTCAATATAATGAACAAAATAATTTTTTTGACGAAAATAAATAAATAATTTAAATTCAAAGTAAATTAAAAATTAAAAATTTAAATTTTATTTTGTTATAAAGTTCAAGCTTAACTCTTTTTTTTTTTAATTTCCCCCAACAAAATTTTAGATGAGAAATATGATATTTTTTGTAAAAAATATAATATTAAGTAATTAATCCAATGTTAAATTAAATTTGTTATGTCTTGTATTCAAAAATGATATTTTATATATATATATATATATCTGTAAGATAAATTGATAGAGTAAGAGAATAAATTGTGTATATATTGATGTTATTATTGATTGATGTATGTTGTTATGTATTACAACTCCTATATATAGAAGAGAAGGTGGTAGTAGGTGTAGGTGGTAAGGGGTGAAGTGGAGGTGGTAGGTGGAGTGGGTGGTAGTGGTGATTTACTATTTACAATTTACATTAACAATATCGATCATCTACCAAGGATTTAGAGAACCAATCAGCAGCAACATTTGATCTCAAACTAGTAATCAATTCTTGGCAATCTATTTGAACTAAAGCTGCCTTGAGAATTTGGGAACAACACCATTGTGGTATGTCCATACACCCACGGGCTTGTCCCTTCTCTTTATACCATGCACCATCAACCAAAAACACAGCAAAAGCAGGATCTACACATCCAATTGTAGTGAGAGACAGGTTATGGTTTGAATTGATATTTATTAAAATGGTGTTTGGTTATGCTTTATTATAGTGATTGAAATAATAAATTGTCAAATCAAAGTTTATTATGTCTCATTTTTTATTATGTTGTCTGATCATAGTTATATTGAATATTTTACGACATAAGATGTAAGTAAAAAATATTGATGTGATGTTTTGGTCTTGGAGTTGTATTTTTTTTATTATTTTTTTATTTTTTTAATGTATTAGTGCTATTAGTGGTGATATTTTTAGTGGGATAAATCATTGTTGTTATTAAAATGGTGTTTGATTATACTTTATTATAGTGGTTGAAATAATAAATTGTCAAATCAAAATTTGTTATATCTCATTTTTTGTTGTGTTGTCTGATCATAATTATATTGAATACATTAAGACATAAGATATAAATAAAAAATACTTTGATCGTAACTAATGTTATTATACTGAGTTATAACCATATCACTTTAAAATATAATCAAACACTAGAACAAGTCCTAATCAATTTTATTTTAATAACTTGTTTGCTCCACCACCATAATATCTCATGATCACTTAAAAATATAATCAACCAATTTTATTTTAAAATATAACACATGCAAAATATAACTCTTAACCAATTTTATTTTAATAATTTGCTTGCTCCACCACCATAATACCCCATAACACAGCACCGCAATAGTTTTAAACCAATTCCAATTTTGATTATATTTTGCATGTGTTATATTATATATGACAAGTATTGTAGTCTAACCTTTTCAAACATTGTGTTTGGTTCATGAATTTAAGTTGAGGTTTGAAAAAGAGATGAAAAATGAAAGAAAAACTTGCTTCTTGATTCACAATTTTTCACTCACATTTTTTCTTTTCTTTTTCAAATTGTAGTTTAAATCTATTATCCAAACACAGTGTAAGTAGGGCAGACAATTTGCTTCCATCAACCCCACATCCCCAAAAATAGAAATTACAGATTTTTTGGTTTTTCTCCATCAAAAGACATAAAAAGCATCAATCTCCAATTTAATTATCAATCTGACAATAAATTCATATAAGAAAATTCTTATATAACATTCAGTAACTCCAGCACTCATTCAGAAAAAAAAAAAAAATGGAAAAATCTCCAGCCAGGATTTGAGATCATAATTTGCTACGAGGACATTCAAAGCTAAACATGTAATGCTTCAGTGTACAAAGACTCTTAAAAATACCAAGTACATCTGGTTTATGCTAAGGGAAATAGTAACATATTGAATCAAAGCAAATGCAGAAGGACTCAGTTTGGTCAGCCTAGAACTTCAACTGCATGCTGAGTTTGTCGCTGAGTATATTTCACAGGCTCTTAAAAACTCGCTTCATATGATGTGTGATCTGATTGATGGTAAATTAGTTGACTATCCAACCGTGTTCTCCTATTTCTTTACAAGACACTGTAGTTGAAGGACGTTGCCATAAAGCTTTTATCAACATCAACCCAAAAACATCGGTTTCACCTAGCCTTACCTGCACAAAATATATATATATATATATATTCAGATGGTAGCTACATCAGTATCTAAAGATTCATCAAGTGAGCATTTGCATTGAAAACATGGCAATCTCTTAGAGGAGAATGAAGAAGAAGACTGATATTTGCAATCACAAATAAACATACAGGAGCCTAGCGCTGAGTCAACGCTAACAAAGATCACATTTTTCTTTGACTAGACATTCAAATGATATCTGAACGGTTTTTTTTTCTTTTTTTTTTCCCCGTCTCTAGAACATACTAGCAATGAAATCTGGTCTTCTACACCTATAATTAGTAACATAATTCAAACTGAAAGCAATGCAAAAGGGGAATGCCAAAAACAACCAGGATTAAGGAGATCATAAGGTGCATATCGTTCATAATCCACCATAGCGCCACAACTAGCCCACAGATATGACCTATCTAAGAATTGCAATAATGGGTATGTGAAGCTCACCCAATAGATGAGGTATGACTTTGTTAGTTGAATTTTTCAAGAACAAGTCAGTGTATTTGCCCCACTAAGTGAAAATAAAAGGGTGAGTGACGATACAAAATAAACTAGTCAGGATTTAGTTTAATTTTTTTTTTCCCATTGACAGGTAGTTGTGTGCATTGTTTCAGCTAAAACATATTAAAGTTAGTTTCTGGACATGGTTGCAGAGACAGCTTAAACAAGCCAAGGTCTCACTTCAACAACAAATTCATCAGGAATGAGCATATGATTATCCAAATATCATAGACTAGAACTTGATTTCAAAACAGATGATTTTATTATTAGATATTCCACCAGTGTAGCTAGAATCAATATGTCATTTACTATCTTATTTTTCTTCTTCTGTTCATGCGCAAGTAGCAAATATCATTTACCATAGCCACAGGACCAAGGAAAGAGAATAAATACCTGAACCCACCCTCTTTCTCGAGTGCAACATACACTGTAGGATGTTCTTACCGACATTACAATTATCTTTTGAAGGATCAAGTGGAAGAAGTGATTTTTAGAGCTGGTCATTGGTTGATCAACAGGGTGGTGAGCCAGTACGTCTTCCCATTTCCCTTTTCAGTGTTGATTGTCTCCACACACAGGTGAAACTAATTTGGGGTGTTGGGGCAGGGGTGTTTCAGGTCAAATATATTCGCAAAGAATCATCCAAAAACAACTATAAAAAGGTGATACTAAGGCACAACCGCAACACATCCAGAGTGAAACTCTTTAATTGCTGCTTCGATCCTTGCAGTTGCAGCAACTCCTGAGCTTCGTCTGCATTGGACTTCAGTTCTTGTACAACTTTGTTCCTGAAAAATGCTTCTAGCTTCCTTGGTAGCTATGCCTCAGTAATTAGCTTCTCACTGTGTGCATTAGAGGTCAAAGGGCTGATAACGAAACTGTATTTACAATCTCATATAGCAACCAGTGGCTTGTTTAGATGGGAGAATCCTTGATACTAATTTGTCAACCACTATCAGGACAGCAGCCATTGCTTTTCAAGAAATATTTTCTCTGTTCTTACTTGAGAGAGAGAGAGAGAGAGAGCAACTTCCTAGATACATGAACTTTATTCTTATAACACACAAAATTGGAAGGTTGACAAGTAGAATTATTCTCAAATATTACAGGTAAATTGCTGGGTGTTGGCTCAACTCAACATCCATCAAGAAAGGAGTGCCGTTCAGGCCACTTCAGTCTAAATAATATCCATTGGGCTGCATTTGGTATTATGAACAAAAGATATAGAAATCAGCAGCATAGATCACTTTTGCCCCATTTCAACAAATTTAGCTCACAATCAAAATTGTATGGTTTAGCTCCTTTACATCGTTCATCAAAAACAACAAGAAAATATATTCAAAAATTGATAATAAGTACTCAATTAGTGGCAACATCACAAGAGAATCTATAAGTTATTAAGCAACATCTAGCTATTAGTAAAACTCAAAAATTCTCAAAAACAAAAATGATGCTTACCTTGCTGAAAAGGCCTCTACACAACCCTATAGAAGTGATCATTAAGCAACATGTTGTTAATAAAGCTTTTAAAAAAAAATTTTCTACAAACCTGTTGTAGTGATCATTAATCAATGTCGTTGACAAAGCTTTAAATTTTGGGCAAATTACACTAATAGTCCCTGTATTTTACCTCCTTTGTCACTTTAGTCCCTGTGTTTTCAATTGGCTCAATTTTAACCTTTTATTTTTAATTTCTTTCCATTTTGGTCCAATCATTAACCACTTTTAAAAAAATTAACAGAAAATAGTCATATGCACAACATGCGATCAACTTTGAGGGGCAAAACAGACATTTCAATCCTAACCATTCCTATTCCATCTCTGCAACACCTTTTTTTTTCCTCCTCCACCGTCTATCATTAATCTCACTCCACCACCGCCACTGCTAAACACCACCACCACCACCATCCGCCACCAAACAATAGCAAAATCGACATCAACAGGTTCATCAGAACCCCAACAACAGACGCCTAGGAAAAGGGGTAGGCCTCGGAAAACCGTTGAGAAAACAGAGAGTGAAGAGATGAAGGAAGAACAGAGAGAAGAAGCAGCGGAAACAATAGTTGAAGAGAGTGAATCGAAGAAAGCAAAAATAGGTGAGGAAGAAGAAGAAGAAGAATAAGAAGAAGAATAAGAGAAAGAGAAGATGAAAGAAGTGGCAACATCATCGTCAGTTGCGGATGCAAAGAAGGAAGCATAACTGGTGCCAAAGGGACTGTCAAGAAGCAGTGCTCAGAGGAAAGGCAAACCTCGTAAGAGCAACTAAACTTTATCAATGAATGATTAATCAAAACCCTTTTATTCCTTTTTTTTTTTGGTGGATCAATCCAAGGGTAGAAGATCAAAAGATGAATGATTTTTCATTTTTACTTCTTCTTCCTCATCTGTTTCTCGTTTTTTCATTTTTTTATTTTAGTTATGGTTTTGAATTTTTTTTTTGAGGTGGTGATTTTTGGTTTACTTGTAAAGCAAAAGCACATGACAATTCTTGAGCTGTTTTGAGAGTTAATTCAAGACTTGAGCTTTATGATCTCCTGATTCAATTTTATGACTATGGAAGTGTTTGGTTGGTTGCTCTGAAAATGTATTTTTGGACAGTTAGAAATGGTGGAAATTGAAATAGTTTTTTTTTTATAAATAATTTTGTTTGGTCTTTTCTTTTGTGTCTTTTAATGATTTGATTTTTGGTTGACTTGTAAAGCAAAACCACATAACCATTATGATCTTTAGATTCAATTTTTTCTTGTCATCTGAATTCCTGAATTGTTGATAGCAGAATTTTTGAATTGTGGTTGCTGATTTCTTGGTGAATTATTTGGGTTGTTCTTCACAAATCTTCAATTTCCTCGAGCTAATTCTTAAGTTTTCCTCCTTTTTTTTTTGTTTTAATTTTTTTGGTGGATTAATCCAAGGGTAGAAGATCAAAAGATGAATGATGTTTCACTTATACATCTTCTTCTTCCTCATCTATTTCTCTTTTTTTTAATTTTTTAATTTTAGTTATGGTTTTGATTTGAATGTTGATTTGAATGTTACTTCTTCTTCCCCACCTGTTGATTTGAATGTTGCTTCTGATTGCCCTTGAAATGTCCATATTGCCCGTGAAAAAAGGTCGTGTGCATCTCACGTGTTTGTTTTCCGTCAACAATTTTAACCAGTGTTAACAATTGGACCAAAATGAAACGAAATTAAAAATAAAAGGTTAAAATCGAGTCAATTGAAAACACAGGGACCAAAGTGACACATGAGGTAAAATACAGGGACTATTAGGGTAATTTGCCCTTAAATTTTTTCTTCCCTTTATGTAAACATAGTGCTCATCCCCTATGCGTTTAATTTTTACCATTTTTTTCAAAAGTCAAATTCTTCAATAAGGTCATCCTAGTGTAAGAGGAGGTATAATAAAACCCAACCAATGTTGTTAATATCATACCAGTTAGTGTACCATTTTTGAAATTAGCCTGGTACGTATCAGTGCAAACAAGAATATCACAATGCAATATATATATATATATATATAAATGAGTATCACCTAATAATAGACTTTTTGTGAGGATAGTATGCTACATGTTTTAGTATAATGTAGCCTTACCTTCATATCTTAAGAAATTTACTCTTTCTCTTGCATGCCATGACTATCTTTGTGCATGAACTTCTTTATCACTTCATGGAGAGCAGGATCTTGTCCTTTAGTTGAGAGTATATCTATGATCATGGGAAAAGTGGATGCATCTGCTGAAAAACCCCTTTCAACCATTTCCTCAGCAAGTATTAATGCCTCATAGCACTTGTTGTGTCCAATAAATCCTCGGATAATAGTGTTGTAAGTGACACCATCTGCCAAGCAACCACTCTGTTCCATTTTAACAAACAACTCCTTAGCTTCATGCAATAGGCCTTCTTCACAAAGACCATGTATCATCATATTGTATGTCTTAACATCGGGATGTAATCCCTTGGAAGAAAGGTTATTGAAAAGGGCCCTTGCAGTATCAAGCTTTTTATCCTTGCAAAATCCGTCAATAAGAATACTGTACATAACAACATTATGATCTAAACCGTTCCGCTCCATCATGTGGAATAATGATAATGCTTCAGAAATATGCCCATTTTTGCACAACCCATCTAATAAGATACCATAAGTTTGAGAATCTGGAATTATGCCTACAGTTTGCATCTCATTAAAAAGTTTTTGAGCAGCTCCACATCTACCTAATTGAAACAAGCCCCGTAGGATAGCACTGAAGGTTTCAGTGTTAGGTTTCAAACCCCTCCGAGGCAATTCTCGAAAGAGATACATGGCCTCATTTATTTTCATCTTCTTGCAATATCCGTTGATTAGAATGCCATAGCTAAAAACATCAGGGTGGAGGCCCCTATCCACCATGGTATTGAACACTCTAATTGCTTCATCCATGTGGCCTTGCAAACAATATCCATCCATTAGAGTACTGTATGTGACTACATTAGGATCCACACCTCTTTGTATCATGACTTCAAGTACCTCCTCTGCCTCCTTTGCCTTCCCTTCCTTGGTAAGTGCATCCACGAACACATTAAATGTACGAACATTTGGAGAAATACTGGCATCCAACATTTTTCTTAACATTTTGGTAGCCTCCTTCCACCTTCCAAAATTACATAGGCCATGAATCAAAGAGGTATAAGTGACAACATCTGGGAAAATACCCTTTTCTTCCATTTCTGTAAAGAGTTTCACAGCATCGTCCACCATTCTATCCTTGCAAAGACTATCAATGATTGTGTTATACACTACGGTGTCAGGTTTACAACTTCCCTCTTCCATTATCCTAAGCAAACTAACAGCACTGATAGTGTTCCCGGTTCTGCAGAGCCCATTAACAATGGTTCCATACATAACCACGTTGGGTTCAATTTCTCTAGTTCTGATTAATTGCGTAAATAACTCTACAGCTTCAGGGGTTTTATCTTCCAAAAAAAGTCCATTAATCAGAGTGTTGAAGGTTGTTGCATCAGGTGTAAAACCGCGTTTGAAGAGGGAACCTAACAGAGAGAAGCCGAAATGGACTTGATTAAGGCGGCAATAACAGTTAATAGCAATGTTGAAGGTGTAGATATCGAGCTGAATGCCCTGGAACTGTAGCAGCTTGTTGAGAATAAGAGAAAGAGAGATGTCGTAATGACCCATTTTCGTAATAGGCCCTAAAGCTTTGTTGAATTGATAAATGGGGGGCAAAGGTCGCATTTGGAGCATGCGATTGAACGAAATTAAAGCAGATTGAAGATGATTGGGACCCAAATTGCATCGTTGTTTGGGTATTACAGCAGCAGGAGGAGGAGGAGGAGGAGAAGTAGGGCTTGTGGTGGTGTTAGAGAGAGAACGAAACAGATGAAATAAGAATGAGGGAAATATTGTACCTTTTTGACAATTATGATCAGCAATTCTTCTTCGTCCAATAATGGAAGAATCAGAAACTCTTCTTCTTCCTGACATCTTCTTCAAGCTGTGTGTGCGCGAGGAGAGAGAGAGAGAGAGTAGCAGTAGTAGTAGCACTGAAAAGGAGCCAACATTCTTCAGATAACAAACACTCTCGCGGTCGGCACGCCTCACGGTCGACCCCTCCCACTCGGCCACCCTCACGGTCAGTTTCTCCCGCTCAGTCACCCTTGCGGTCGGCACGGCTTCCAGTCGGCCTCTCCACTCGGTTCGCACTTCTCTTCCTTATTACTATTCCCTTCGTTGGGCTATAGCTGCACTCGAAAATGGGGGACTACTGACATGGATAGGCCCACAAGGCTTACGGCCCACAGCAAACAACCCCAAACCCGTCGCTTGGGACCCATAGCACAACCCGGTTGGCAAAGCCCAGGACAGCTGGAGGCCACCTGGACATGGAGGGCCAGTGGCATTCGGACACATGGCAGATGAAACACAGGCCACATCAGCAGACAAAGATCTGCAGAGTTATTGCCACAACACATCACCATTAATGCAGCCCATCACAGCATTTATTACGACAACACCTCCCCGTCGGAACAGAGCCCCCTCACCCTGAACAAGGTAAGCTACGGCACAGGCTTTCGGCGAAAGGGGGCACGTCACAAGAGACAGTGAAATGATTACCAAAGGATATAAGCAATAAGGGAAGACAAGAGGAAGGTTAAGCTTTTTATTTCTCTCTCTCTCTCTCTCTCTACATTTCCCTATTCCTCTACTAATTCTCTCGCCGGAGGGTTCACTTGGGGACTGCCCCGTTCCCCTGTGGACTTGCTTGCAGGTCATTTGGCGGAATCATCACCCTGAACCACAACTTGAAGAGCCTGGACCAACCCGACCCATCCACCCGGGACGAACTGCATTATCAAGTCCTAATCAATTTTATTTTAATAATTTGTTTGCTCCACCACCATAATATCCCATAATCACTTTAAAATATAATCAACCATAATAACTCTTAACCAATTTTATTTTAATAATTGCTCCACCACCATAATACCCCATAACACAGCACCACAATAGTTTCAAACCAATACCAATTTTGATTATATTTTGCATGTGGTATGTATGACAAGTATTGCAGTCTAACCTTTTCAAATATTGTGTTTGGTTCTTAAATTTAAGTTGAGATTTGAAAAAGAGATGAAAAATGAAAGAAAAACTTGCTCCTTTATTCACAATTTTTCACTCACATTTTTTCTTTTCCTTTTCAAATCATAGTTTAAATCTATTATCCAAACACGGGCAGATAATTTGCTTCCATCAACCCCACATCCCCAAAAATAGTAATTACAGATTTTTTGGTTTTTCTCCATCAAAAGACATAAAAAGCATCAATCACCAATTTAATTATCAATCCGACTATAAATTTGTATAAGAAAATTCTTATATAACATTCAGTAACTCCAGCACTCATTCAGAAAAAAAAAAAAAAAAACAAAGGATGGAAAGAATCTCCAGCAAGCATTTGAGATCACAATTTGCTACAAGGATATTCAAAGATAAACATGTAATGCTTCAGTGTACAAAGACTCTTAAAAATACCAAGTACATCTTGTTTATGCTAAGGGAAATAGTAACATAATGAATCAAAGCAAATGCAAGTGGACTCAGTTTGGTCTGCCCAGGACTTCAACTGCATGCTGAGTTTGTTACCGAGTATATTTCACAGGCACTTAAAAACTTGCTTCATATGATGTGTGATCTGATCGATGGTCAATTAGTTGGGTATCCAACCTTGTTCTCCTATTTCTTTACAAGACACTGTAGTTGAAGGACGTTGCCATAAAGCTTTTATGAACATCAACCCAAAAACATTGGTTTCACCTAGCCTTACCTGCACAATATATATATATATATGTATATTCAGATGGTAGCTACATCAGTATTTAAAGATTCATCAAGTGAGCATTTGCATTGAAAACATGGCAATCTCTTAGAGGAGAATGAAGAAGAAGACTGATATTTGCAATCATAAATAAACGTACAATAGCCTAGCGCTGAGTCAACACTAACAAAGATCACATTTTTCTTTGACTAGACATTCAAATGATATCTGAACATTTTTTTTTTTTGGTCTTCTACACCTATAACTAGTAACATAGTTCAAACTGAAAGCAATGCAAAAGGGGAATGCCAAAAACAACCAGGATTAAGGAGATCATAACGTGCATATCGTTCGTAATCCACCATAGCGCTACAACTAGCCCATAGATATGACCTATCTAAGAATTGCAATAATGGGTTTGTGAAGCTCACCCAATAGATGAGGTATGACTTTGTTAGTTGAATTTTTCAAGAACAAGTCAGTGTATTTGCTCAACTAGCTGAAAATAAAAAGGTAACGATACAAAATAAACTAGCCAGGATTTAGTTTAATTTTTTTTTTCCATTAGGTAATTGTGTGCATTGTTTCAGCTAAAACATATTAAAGTTAGTTTCTGGACATGGTTGCAGAGACTGCTTAACACACCAAGGTCTAACTTCAACAACAAACTCATCAGGAATGAGCATATGTTTATCCAAATATCATAGACTAGAACTTGATTTCAAAACAGATGATTTTATTATTAGATATTCCTCTAGTGTAGCTAGAATCAATATGTCATTTTCATTTTTTTTTCTTCTTCTGTTCTTGCACAAGTAGCAAATATCATTTTCCATAGCCGCAAGACCAAGGAAAGAAAACAAAGACCTGAACCCACCCTCTTTCTCAAGTGCAACATACATTGTAGGATGTTCTTACCGACATTACAATTATCTTTTGAAGAATCAAGTGGAAGAAGTGATTTTTAGAGCTGGTCATTGGTTTATCAACAGGGTGGTGAGCCTGTAATTCTTCCCATTTTCCCTTTTCGGTGTTGATTGTCTCCACACACAAGTGAAACTAATGTTGGGGGGTTGGGGCAGGGGTGTTTCAGGTCAAATATATTCGCAAAGAATTATCAAAAAACAACTATAAAAAGGGCATACTGAGGCACAACCACAACACATCTAGAGTGAAACTCTTTAATTGCTGCTTCGATCCTTTCAGTTGCAGCAACTCCTGAGCTTCGTCTACATTGGACTTCAGTTCTTGTACAACTTTGTTCCTGAAAAATGCTTCTAGCTTTCTTGGTAGATATGCCTCGGTAATTAGCTTCTCACTGTGTGCATTAGAGGTCAAAGGGCTGATAAGGAAACTGTATTTACAATCTCATATAGCAACCAGTGGCTTGTTTAGATGGGAGTATCCTTGATACTAATTTGTCAACCACTATCAGGACAACAGCCATTGCTTTTCAAGAAATATTTTCTCTATTCTTACTTTCAAGAGAGAGAGAGAGAAAGCAACTTCCTAGATACATGGACTTTATTCTTATAGCACACAAAATTGGAAGGTTGACAAGTAGAATTATTCTCAAATACTACAGGTAAATTGCTGGGTGTTGGCTCAACTCAACATCCATTAGGAAAGGAGTGCCGTTCAGACCACTTCAGTCTAAATAATATCCATTGGGCTGCATTTGGTATTGTGAACAAAAGATATAGAAATCAGCAGCATAGATCACTTTTGCCCCATTTCAACAAATTTAGCTTACAATCAAAATTGTATAGTTTAGCTCATTTACATCGTTCATCAAAAACAAGAGGAAAATATATTCAAAAATTGATAATAAGTACTCAATTAGTGAGCAACATCATAAGAGAATCTATAAGTTATTAAGCAACATCTAGCTATTAGTAAAACTCAAAAATTCTAAAAAACAAAAATGACGCTTACCTTGCTGAAAAGGCCTCTACACAACCATATAGAAGTGATCATTAAGAAACATGTTGTTAATAAAGCTTTCAAATTTGTTTTTTCTACAACCCTGTTGTAGTGATCATTAATCAATATGTCGTTGACAAAGCTAGTGATCATAGTGATCATCCCCTATGCATTTAATTTTCATCATTTTTTTCAAAAGTCAAGTTCTTCAATATGGTCATCCTAGTGTAAGAGAAGAGGTATAATAAAACCCAACCAATGTTGTTAATATCATACCAGTTAGTGTACCCTTTTTGAAACTAGCCTGGTACGTATCAGTGCAGACAAGAATATCATAATGCAATATATATATATATATATATAAATGAGTATCATCTAATAATAGACTTTTTGTGAGGATAATAGGCTACATGTTTAGTATAATGTAGCCTTACGTTCACAGCTTAAGAAATTTACTCTTTCTCTTGCATTCCATGACTATCTTTGTGCATGAACTTCTTTATCACTTCTTGGAGAGCAGGATCTTGTCCTTTAGTTGAGAGTATATCTACGATCAAGGGAAAAGTGGACGCATCTATAGAAAACCCCCTTTGAACCATTTCCTCAACGAGTATTAATGCCTCATAGCACTTGTGTTGTCCAATAAATCCTTGGATAATAGTGTTGTAAGTGACACCATCTGCCAAGCAACCACTCTGTTTCATTTTAACAAGAAACTCCTTAGCTTCATGTAGTAGGCCTTCTTCACAAAGACCGTGTATCATCATATTGTATGTCTTAACATCAAGATGTAATCCCTTGGAAGAAAGGTTATTGAAAAGGGCCCTTGCAGTATCAAGCTTTTTATCCTTGCAAAATGCATCAATGAGAATACTATACATAACAACATTATGATCTAAACTGTTCCTTTCCATCATGTGGAATAATGACAATGCTTCAAAAATATGCCCATTTTTGCACAACCCATCTAATAATATACCATAAGTTTGAGAATCTGGAATTATGCCTACAACTTGCATCTCATTAAAAAGTTTTTGAGCAGCTCCACATCTACTCAATCGAAACAAACATTGTAACATAGTGCTGAAAGTTCCGCTGTTGGGTTTCAACCCCCTTTGAGGCAATTCTCGAAAGAGATGCATGGCCTCATCAATTTTCATCTTCTTGCAATACCCATTGATTAGAATGTTATAGCCAGAAATATTAGGGTGAAGGCCCCTATCCACCATGGTATTGAACACTCTGATTGCTTCATCCATGTGGCCTTGCAAACAATATCCATCCATTAGAGTATTGTATGTGACAACATCAGGATCCACACCTCTTTGTATCATGAC